GGTTTGAGACCAGATTGGGTAACTTGATGAGACCTCATCTCTATAAGAAATTAGGAAAAAAAAAAATTAGCTGGGCGTGGTGGCACAAGCCTGTAATTCCAGCTACTTGGAAGTCTGAGGCAGAAGGACTACCTGAGCACAGCAGGTCGAGGCTGTGGTGGTTGTGAGCCTGGGCAACAGAGTGAGAATCCAACTCAAAAAAACAAAACAAAGAAATAAAATAAAAGTCAAGATTCCATTGATTTAAAATGTTTTATAATATAAGATCAACTAGAATGAAGAACAAATATATAACATTTAAAATATAAGCCTCTATTGTTAAAATACAAAATTTGGATTGCATTTAAAAACTACATTTAGGGGGGAGGGGGAGGGGATTAACAGTAGCAAATATCTGTCTGGGGCTGGGAAAACACCTCTTATCAACAGGGTGTCTGAATGAAACGTAATTGTACACCTAACCCTTAACTGTACCCCACAAAACTATAATAAAAATACTGATTAATTATTAAAAAAAAAAAAAAAAAAAGAAATATGCAAAAAAAAAAAAAAAACAAAAAACAAAAAAACTACATTTAACTTATAAACTCTGAAAGACATTTGATTAGATATTACTTACCCTATAATAAAACCGGGGAATGGTCTTATAAAATTCATTTGTATTTTTTCTACCACCTTTCCATTCTGAGTAATATTTGGTAAATAAATCCATTTCTTCATCTTTCAATTCTTGTTCACTTTTTTTTTCTGCTAACAAAACAGATTAAGTGAATTAAAGCACTTTTAAAATCAAGCAGTACTTTTACTCAGGTCACCCTACATACTATTATTAAAATAGTCTAATTAAAATAGCTGCAGTTCCAAAAAGGCCTTCAGTGAGTTGTGCTTAGACACTGAGCTTCATATTAACTTTCTTGAAATACCAAGAATCACTACCTTCCACCAAATCAGCCTCCCCTACATCTTCAACCACTTCTGGGCATGCTCCCTCTACTTCTGTTTATCACTAAAGCTAGACTCTTCCTCAAGTCACTGCCTTTCCTACAGACCTCTGAAGTGTTCCTAATTCATTCAATTAGAAGTATTACTGGCCAGGCACGGTGGCTCAAGCCTGTAATCCCAGCACTTTGGGAGGCCAAAGTGAGAGAACTGCCTGGCCCACGGGTTCAAGACCAGGCTGGGCAACTTGGGGAGCCCTCATCTCTACAATAAATCAAAAAATTAGCTGGGCGTGGCGATGTGTAGCTGTAGTTCTGGCTACTTGGAATGAGGAGTGAGCAAAATAGCCCAGCTCTCATGGGATTTCAGTCTCATAATGTAAAAACAAAAGAAAAAAAAACATCTGAAGCTCAAAAATCAGGGCTCTATTACCTTCCAACCTGCCTACTATTAGCATGTGGCTGTTTGATTTAAGCCATCCCTTCTTTTATTTGAGGACCATGGTGACTGGGCATAGTGCTTCACAAGTTCCTGTGACCATTTAGGATGAATAAACATTTATGTGGGTAACCCTGAGACCTCCAATTCCGAAGGGTTTCACCTCTAGTCTACTATACAACCCTGTTCTATGGCAAGACCACAGAGTTTACTAGTCCCTCTTCTAAAATCTTAAGCTCTGGTCACTCAAAGTCTCACTGCCATAATACCTGTACTTTAGCCTCACTAAGATCTTGAATTTTGTGATCTATTGTATTTTCTCAAAAGTTTATTTTTCACTTTCTAGTTTTTCTTCCTTCCTGACAAGTCTGCTATTGTTTCCTTGAACATATTTTATGACTGTATTTCTACCTCATCTGTCATGTTAGTTTTTAACCTTGAGACCAAACCTCTATTTTCTTTATAAAGGCAGTGACTTGAGGAAGACACTAGCTTTAGTGATAAACAGAAGTAGAGGGAGCATGCTGAGAAGTGGCTGAAGATGTAGGGGAGGCTGATTCTGTGGAAGGTAGTGATTCTTGGTATTTCAAGAAAGTTAATATGAAGCTGAGTGTCTAAGCACTGAGTTATAGTTTCTTTACATACTCTTTTTTTTTTTTTTTTTTTGAGTTGGAGTCTCACTTGGTCACCCAGACTGGAGTGCAG